AACAACAACAACATGTGTTTACTTGATCACCTCAGGTAACTCCAAACACAGTTGGAATAAGTAATTTTAACTGGAATTTGCAACTACACTTCCAACTCTAGAGCAAACTCTTTTCTTTGTATGCTAATACAGTGATTAAAACCAAACAAACAAACCAGAAGTACAAAGAAGTCAAACACCTACCTTGGCACGTAAACTTTTTGGATGGAGTAGTAAGCAGTAATTTATCCGCCATTTCTCCTGGGCCAGCACAGCGCGCAATCCCTGGTTCCTTATATTCCGATTTTACCCAGTCCGATAACCACTGCATGTTACAATCACAGTAAAGAGGGTTGGCTCCAATTGCTCTGGAAAAAACAACACCACAAACGCAGACACACACGCACACACACAGATATGAAGTGGTGTTATTTCCTAAGGGAACACAGCTCAGCTTGATGAGCAGTAGAAAGTTCCCATCGATTTACTGAGACTAATGACAGAGAAAATAATCAGACATTGGATGCAGCCTATTTTCCTGAATTATGTTCGTCTGGGATTCAGTGAGTTGCCACTACTGTTAAAACATACCTGGGTTTTACAAGGACTCCTTACATGAGCAGAGACAGGTTTATATTGGTATGTATGCAGATCCCATGGTCTGATTAATACCTCCTTTAATTCACAATTATTTACTGAGAACACACTCATTGTGCTAGGGTTGGGGACCCAGTATAAATAACACACTATTTTTTTCAACTCCAACAGTTAAACAGTTTAAACTGCAATAGAACTCAACAGTATTCAGTAGAGATTAATGCAAGTCTGTACACATAAACCATTTTCATTAGAAATGTTTGAGTAGAAGTTAGTTACAAAATGACTGAACAAGAATGACTAATTTCTCTGGGAGGGGGAAGGGGTGTTGGTGGTCAACACATACTAAGCTACCTGACATAGGAGTGAATTAACTGCATGGAAAAAGACATTTCAGGTAAAAGGACTGAAAATTGGATCAATTCAATGGCAACCTTCTTTTTCCGGTTTTAAGTACAAAGGCATGGAAACATGAAATGATAAGAGTCCTACAGAACTTCCTCATTTGGACCTTAATTGGGTATTAATCCCTTTGCAAAAACTTTAGTTTTAGAACTTTAGTTTTATTGTTAGAGATTAGAACTAAGGTAAAAATGTTTTTGCTGTTATTAAGTGCCATCAAGTTGGTTCCGACTCACAGAGACCCTGTACAGGTTTTCTGATGAGCAGTTGGTGAGTTTGACCCACTGACCTTGCGATTCAAACCATGGTCCAGTACTTACCTTACAACGCCACACCAGGACTCCAAAGTAATAGTAATAATAGCAAAACTTTTTCATTTTACTCACAAGAAATACAGAGGTACAAAGACGGTATATGAAAGAAATGATCTATCCTGTATGTCCTCTTTATAGGAGTCCTGGTGTGGCTCTGTAGGATAAGCACTGTACTGCTAACCACAAGGCCAGCAGTTCAAACACACTAGTCACTCCTTGGAGACCGAAGCAAGGGTGGCTATGAGTCAGAACTGACTTGACAGCACTTAACAATAACAACATGAGAGAACACAATGGAAAAGCATCGATCCCAATAGAGGATTTGGTTGGTAGGCCTTCTAAGTCTGGAAGGACTTTTATTAAAGAGTTAAGAACTATGTCTCACTTAGTTTTACATGGCCCCTGGCTCACAATAGATGTTCTAATGAAGCACATCCGGATATGAATCAAAACTGAGGTGATACTTGGGATGACTCTTGAAGGAATAGGGTTTGAGGAGATAACGTTGAAGGGGAAGCTGATATTCCAAAATCAGAGCATACCAGAAAAGCCAGGGGCTAATAAGCAAGTTACGGAGCCAGGTTAATAAAAAGAGACACTTGTCCTAAAACAAGCATGTAAAAAAACAAATATCTGAATGATTTTGATAGTTGAGAAAAAAATGTCCAACATTTTGAGTATGTTAAAAAGAGTTGACTTTTTAAAATTATTCAAATAATTCACCTTCTAATTTATCCATATAACTATGTAAACTAAAATAAAAGAACTTTCAAAAAGACTCTACTGCTTATAATTTAGTTATATTTTACCTAGCAAAGATTTATTGACACAAACATTGATTAAGCCCCCAAAATGTATATGGCAAAATATCAGCTCTTCCATTTAAAAGTAATGCATAAAGTTAGTGTATCAGTGGTGACCAAGGGAAGGAAGGATGGGACAGGAGTCTGTGTGTTGAGAAAGTAGTGGGAAATCTGGCAACAGTTATGTGTGATGTTTGAATAACATGTATGATTGTAATTTATACCACGAAATTAAACACTGGAAAAGCGTTGAATTTAAAAATGTGTTATACACATATATTT